CTTGGCACCCTGATCATGTTGCCCATGTCTCTATTAATGCCAAACCGTGGAACCTGACCGGATCAAACAACGTGCAAACAAGATTGTCGCACCGTTGGAGTCCTACGTCCGTCTCACCAAAACACCCATTACACTCTGTGCAGCGCTCCCCTCTGGATAGTCATTATGTTTGAACATGACCAACGTCCAGAGAGTACAACCACTCATACACATGAGCACAGCTAAATCGAGAAGTGTACCTTTTACAACATCTAGGCCCAAGCCGTGAAAAGGATTTCGCGCTTCGCACGGTAGCGGAGCTGTGGCCGTAAGTGCCCACTTCGCTGCCCATGCCATTTGCACTACAACCCGGTGTTTGCGGCCGCGGACCTTGAAAGGGGCACAATCTATCTCATTTTGGTTGGCGGAGCTTTTGTTGCTGAGCTGAATAGCTGAAAGAGCCGGAGGCGCCCTTATCCAGGAGGCCACCTCCAGCCGCCTCCAGTTGTTGCCCAGCGCAGCGCGTGGGAAAGCTCCTGTGGACACGGAGTAGCGCAACAGTGAGGGCATCACTGGTGGTGAGAAAGAAGAGAAAGAAAGGGTGACCACAGGGATGTACTATCCCAAAGTGAGTGACTTACATCCACGCACAGGAGAGCCTGAAGCAGATTTCATAGGCCCTTGAGAAGTTGAGTGTGACACAAAACTCAAACTCTTGGGCAAGACTTTTGAAGACACCGGACATCTTCAAACCGGACACAAGGGACCATGAGCTTATGCCAAAGGCATCTATCCAGGCATGGCCTAACGCTGAATGGCGCCTACGAGCTGGACGAGATGACGGATGAGACCAGATGCTCATTTCCTACCTGAGGAATCGGCCGTTGAAGTACATGAAGCGGGAGAATGGGTTCGAGGCCTGGCAACGACAAGCGTGCGGCGTGAGCCTTCCACTCCACTACCTGGGCTGGCCACTGGCAGGCGTCTGCAAGGGATGGAAGCAAGTGGTGTTGCTAAGCGCCCAAGCCTTGGCACACTCCCGTTTCGTGCCGATTCAGGCCCACGAGCCGCATGTGGCGTTGCGCCATTTCTGGACAGATGACGCGCTGCAGTTCCGGTCGGCAACGACTATGATCCGGGCCTGCCTGCGGATGGCCGTGCAGAACTTAGCGGGCCGATGGAGGCCTGCAGACTTGGAGAGGCCGCTTGCCTAGAGCCCTGCCCGGAAGTGTTTTGCGAGGGCCTCCAATGGCTTCTTGACTGGGGCAGCCACACCCAGTGGCGGTCCTGGCGGCTGCACTTCAGCGTGAGGTCGAGACGACCATCGACAGGTTCCGCTGGCAGCTGAGCCACGAGGAACACACCTGCTGCGCAGTCTGTCGTGACAGAAAAGCGTCGTCTGGGGTAGTACTCGCTTGTAGCCCTTTGTCACACCCCTTTTTCTTGCACCGCGCAAAAGCCACCTGGGGGCCTCCGTCGGATCCTGGTCGGACGACTCCTGATGCCCGTGGTCGGTGGCGCCCAGCAGCCAGGGTTTTTGAAGGAAAAGACAAAAAGCGGGGTGAAAGGGAAGTCCAAATGAAGTTGAGCAGGACGGAAAAATCTACGCAGACAAGATGTCAGCGAAGGAATTACAGATGGCGCACAAAGTGCGAAGAACGCCAACTTCTCACAGTGAAAGCAAGAGACGATTGCCTGACAGGCTCATCGCCTTTAAGATCAACTTGGAGAATAACATGAAGCCGACCGTTGCACGCAAGCTGTATCAAGAACAGCAGAGGAAGTGGTTGGCGAAGCTACCGTCCTTGAAGGAGCGCGAGGCACATTTTCTGACTCATCTTCCATATGCTCTTTGGCGCCAGGCCTGCGTTGCAACAAAGGCCAGGGAGGACAGGCGTGAGCAGAGGGAAGAGAAGCCTGGACAGACTGCTGAAGCTCTGTCGTCGGGCGAGTCAGAATTTGTGGCAGGGTCCTCCGATGGGCTTTTGGTCCAGTGCCTATGGAAGGGAGAGTCGTGTGACGCGAACGTTCGCTCGGATGGCTTGGCGGCTCAACGGCAAGAGCAATGGTGCAGAGGCAGGGCATTGGTCGGGCTCGGCGCAGAGTTGGACTGCGCCGGCGTTGGGACGAAGAACCTCACAGAGAAGCGGGCGGCGGGAACCGGTATTTCTCTGGGATTTTGTTTGGGTTTTCCGTGATTTTTCTGTGTTTTCTCCTACTGCTTTTGCTTTCGCTTCTTGCTCTTTGCTTTTGCTTTCGCCTTTGCTTTTGCTTCTTGCCTTTTTTTTGCTTCTGATTTTGCTTTTCTTTCTGCTTTTGCTCTTTGCTTTTTGCGTTTGCTTCTGCATTTGCTTTTGCTTTTTGCTTTTGCTTTGCTGTTCCTTCTGCTTTCGCTTTTGCTTCTGCCTTTGCTTTTGCTTCTGCTTGTGCTTCTTGCTTCTGCTTTTTGCTTTTGCTTTTGCTTTCTGCTTTGCTTTTGCTTTTTTTGCTTCTGCTTTTTTGCATTCTGCTGGGAGTGCTTTACAAGCACACCAAAGCCAGCGTGACGGAGAGAGCGAGGCAGCAGAAAAGACGTCCCGCTTACTATAGGGACTTCTTTGCGGTTGTCTTTGGGCTTCACTGGTTTCGAGTTTCTTTGGGCTTGGTTTCTTGTCTCTAGGATTTCTTTAGGCGTTCTTCCATGTGCTTTTGCTTTGTGCTTTTCCTTTTGCTTTTTTGCTTTTGCTTCTGCCTTTGCTGTTGCTTCTGCTTTTGCTTTTTGCTTGTGCTTCTGCTTTTGCTTTTCGCTTCTGCTTTTTTGCATTCTGCTTTTGCGTTTGCTTCTGCTGGGAGTGCTTTACAAGCACTAGGAGCAGCAGAAAGGGCAGGGGACGAAGCACCAAAGCCAGCGCGACAGAGAGAGCGAGACAGTGACAAAGAAACCCTGAAGACAAGAAACCAAGCCCAAAGAAACCCGAAACCAGTGAAACCCAAAGGCAACCGCAAAGAAGTCCCTATAGTAAGTGGGATACCTTTTCTATTCCCTTTTTTTGTTACTGTCTCGCTCTCTCCGTCACGCTGGCTTTGGTGCTTCGTCCCCAGCCCTTTCTGCTGCTCCTAGTGCTTGTAGAGCACTCCCAGCAGAAGCAAAAGCAAAAGCAGTAGGGGAAGAAACGTGAAAAGAATTCCCGGAAAAAACAGAAAAATAATGGAAAACATCTTCATCCTTCTCTACGTCAAGATGGTGAACGGCGTTTCAGAGGGAACTGGAGAAAATGAATTTCGTGAGTTGGATCACAAAGAGCGCATGAGAAGGGAAGCAAAGAAGATCCTGAAAGGGAAGATCTACACGCGGGGCTACTTCTGGTCTTGGCCAATTTGCACGAGGCTGCAGGAGAAAGCCCAGAGTGACAGGATCAAAGCAGTGAACGGGCTTGGATGGTCTTCTCGCCTGCGCAATCTTTGGGTCTTGAGCATCATCGGATGGTTGCGGCGCTACATCATTGAAGGGTTCCTGGGCACTAGCTGGTACTACTTCAAGGAGGTCATGAAGGCCATGCTAAGGAAGTAAAACATGATGGAGAGGCCGAGGCTGGAGAGAAACAGCGTGGGCATACAGGCCCATTGTTGGCTGGGCCTCGCAGTCCTGGAGTGTGATGAGAAGGAAGCCATAGGGAGAAGGAGATCAGGAAATTTGCAGTCAGCGAGATCAGTTCCTCGGTCTCAGAAGATTTTGGACACCAGCTGATGAAGCAAGCGACCCAATACAGGATATCCCAAAAAGGGACGGTGATCCATTACAATGCAGCATGCCCTGATTTTCAGAGGGCGCGACATCTTCCTTTGCGCGCCAAGAGTGGAGGGAAGGTGTTTGAACATGACCAACATCCAGAGAGTACAACCACCCATACACTCATGAGCACAGCTAAATCGAGAAGTGTACCTTTTTACAACATTTGGGCCCAAGCCGCGAAAAGGATTTCGCGTTTCGCAGAATATGTGTGACTATATAAACTGCTTCTGCTGCAGTATATGGCCACGTACTTTTGCATCGTTCAGATGCCATCAAAATGAGTGCATCAACTTGCAAGACTAAAAAACTCCAACCCCCAGTCCTGTCTGACACAATCATAACAAGGTCGCAGCGTTGTTAAGAACCCTGACCGCTCATGCTTGATATCATGCGAAAGTCCAAAGCAGTGGTTTTGATGGCTTTCTTGGAATTGATCTGAGCAGGCACGCGTCCCTTCATGCAGTAAAGATGTGGGGAGTATTGAAGGACAAGTGCTAAATTTTTGCACATACACGACGCCGTCGATTTTCACCAGTTCGCCTTGCAACAGAGTTTGCTGGCAGCTGCCTCGACCAAAATTATGTTGATGCACAAGTCTCCTAAGCATTCAGACCGCACAGTTGCTCAGGTTCAACAAAGAGTCCAAACAATCAAAATCAGTAAAAAACCGCAGTTTCAAAAGACCACAAATCGAACAAATGATCTTAGGGACAACAACACCAAAACATCCAACTTCAAATCCCTCATTGTTCTTGTCAAAACCGAATGGTTCTGGCGGCTGAACACGTACATCATTATCCCCACCCCCCAACAAAAAACACAACAACTGATGGTGATCAAAATTTCAACAACACCCGAAACAAGAATTGAAGGTGAAGGTGATCGAAATTTTAACAACGACAAGATCTGCAATCCTGCCCGACACTGAAGCAGCACAATCCTCAGCAGCCTTCTCTTTGTTTCCCCCTTTTGCCGGGACCTAAAATCGATGAACGAAACAGTCGAAATCCTGAAAGCAGAACAGCTTCAGAAGCACAAAAAGACAAACGTTCCTGCTGCTGCTGGCTAGTGGTGGTTCGGTTGGTGGCGTTGTGAGTTTTTGCTCCAGCAATTGTGCAATGCAGAGATATGCAGAACCATTTTGCAGCTTTGAAGGAACATACAGGAACCTCTTTTTACACCTTGGGAATCCTTGAGATACTTGCACTTTTCAAGGGTTCGCATGGTGATGTTTGTCCGATGCGCTCAGGGTTCTCTTCTCTGGTGTGGGTCCAACGGAGAAAGCTCAGCAAAATGCGACTGCCTCGACTGTGAGAAGATAAATTATGTATTCGAATCCTCATATCTTGTCGGGTTTGCCGTCTCAACACCGGCTGTCAAGAGTGTTCATGTGATCTTTTTGGTGCTTTCTGGGTCTCTACTGAGGTGGCAGTTGGGGTTGGTGCGTTGGCAGGCACTTGGAGCTTTTGGAGCTTTGGGCCTATCCAGGATCCTTTGGGATCCTTCGGGCCTGTGCTGTGCTTTGGTTCTCGACAACATGCTTCACCCTTTGCGGCAGGCAGTACCATCATGCTCCTGACAGTTCCGTGGTTTTTGGTCCGCCCAATGCTGAAAACTTTTGGTCATCACGAGTCAATCCATAAGAAACCTACCTCCTCAGACTCCTGGGCGTGGGCAGGCTGTTCTTGGAGGCCGCGTGGACTTTGCCAATGGAAAGTGTCAGTACAATGCCGAAACCAAGCTTTCCAAGGCGCTGCTTGCATCAATTGTCCACTTTGAGCAATCAGATGATGCACGTGAATTTGGCAGACCGGCTTTTTCAACACCTGCTTTGAAACTGGCATTCGAAACTTGAGCAGCACTGGAAATTAAAACTGTGTATTTACTCATTACCCTTTGATGATGCATGTTTCGGAGTCCAAATATGCATTCTCAATGCAAGCATTCGACATTCAGCTACATAGAGCTACTTGCTAGCTGCTAGAGCTTGTTGTCAGCCGAGGGTACAAGCCGGAAATCCGTGCCAATGCAAAGATCATGGTATTCACAGCGTTCACGTGCTCCGTTGTTTGGTGTAAGTGTAAGAGAACGTGCGGAGTCAATCAAATGCAATCATGCAATCATATTCGGTCGCATTCAGGTACTTGCTCATCCAAATACCAGCCCTGTACGTTGACAATCAGAAGCAACATATTGGATTGAAGGCTGACGATTGCATCCTAGAGAACTGAACTACAGTTTCACGGCTTGGTGTCATTTGCATACTGTAATTGGTTCAACCGCAACAATTGTTTCTTTTTTCGGAAGAGATTGCTACTACTAGTAAGGCACTTGTTACTACTAGCGATGCACTTGTTACTACTAGCGATGCACCTGTTACTAGTAGTTTCTAAAGGGAGCCAAAGATCCAAAGCATTCCCCTTCTCACTGGTATCATCGTTTTGCGTGAGGGAATCCTCAGAGAGAATTCGCAGGAATCCGTGCAGTGCTGAGGTTTTTTTTCGTACTGGTGTTTTCAAGCACGGTCTAGGCTCTGACGCATCAACTTGTCTCATTGACTCTTCTTTCCATGTCTTTCCTGTGAGGTCTGGGCCCTTCTTGGGATGATTTTGTGTTTTGTGGAGTTCTGTGGGTGCGCCACAAATGCTTTACGTTTTCTGCTTGATTTGGAGTGAGCTTCAGCTTGTAAGGTACATGTACATGCAGTATGCGGCCAGCTTGCCTGAGCAGCAAGTTCCTCATTCTGTCTCCAGCGCGGAGATGCTGAAGGCCACATCCCACGAAATGCACAAGCACCGGGGTAGCAAGCAATCACCTGCAAATTGAGTTGTCCTGCATTTTATGTCTCTTATTAGACTCTCAGACTCTAATTGACATCCATTTCATATTGAAGCTCCCCATGTTGGAGGCCAAAGTTGCTGGTTGCATGGGCTGGATGCGCAGCAAGATGGCTGGTGTTGGCATTGCCCCGTGAGAAGGGCTCGTTTGATGTCAGAACGAGCAACGGAAATGCTCAATTTTCCGAGTTGAAGCAGCCGACCGTTTACTTTGTGCCAGGGCAAAGACCCGTAATTATGCGACATCAATCATGCGGGCCCAAGAGTGGGAGACCCAGGGTGCCAGGGGTGTGCACCAAGCAGGCGACATGAAAGGCCAAGCAAACTAAGCCGGTTCGCGTGCGTTGTTTTGAAAAAATAACTACAGGCGCTACAGGCGACTCCCGGGAAAGGACAGCTTTAAAAACAAGTACTGTTTTTACCGCGCGTGTGGTGGCAAAATAAGGACTACCCCGTCCGGGAAAAACGGAAAAACATCATTTTCGATTTTTACTGGTTTTACCGCAGGGATGGTAACAAAACAAGGGCGACCCCCTCGGGAAAAACGGAAAAACCACGCGGGGGAACCCCGTAGCTCGAGCAACACCGCTAAACCAGCACTGCAAACGCAATAAAAGGTGTATATATAAAAGCAACCTAGTTGAAATGATGCGATGAGTCTGCTACAAGCAATCAATTTGATCAGGTAGCTTGCCAGAAAGACCAATATGCATTCATGGAACCATTGATAACTTGCTGCATTATGATTGACACATCGATCGGTGTAGAGTTCCCTCGTTTCGTGAGTAGTTCCTTTGCTTCGTGTCCTCAAGGCTTGGTGTGAAGGGATGGATGGAAGAGTTTCGAAGAGACGCTTTCTGGCAAGAGTTGCACACATTCCAAGTCATTCGGTTGTTGCTTAGCTCGGCATGGTGCTTAATTACCTCAATTCCACCTTTGTTTGGCTTGAACTATTCCTAGCTGTAAGTCTGTTACAAGTTGCACTAATTTTAACTATTGACTGCATTTCCCGGGCCAGTTTCAGCTGCTCTAACCAGCTTTGAGCATTGCCAGACAAGGAGTGGAAGCTCACTGATGACAGTTCAGAGGCTGTCCTTTGCATATCCACATGGATTGTATCATTTTTGATCATTTTTGTATGCGTATGAAACTGGTGTGCGCATTTCTTGCAGAAAAACAAAGCATTGTTGGACAAAGCGAGCTTCCCAGCAGACTTCAGAGATACGCTTCTTGGTTAGAACATAGCAGAGAGCCAGTTTGTTGCTGATGCTATCAACTCCATACGTTTTGAGCTTCAGGCGGGCTAGTTAGAGAAGAACGTTGGCTGAAATCGGCTTAGCCTCGAGCCAAGGTTGACAATGTGGTACAGGAAGTGAGCCTGGAGATATTACCGCGAGACCAACAACATCGAACAAACCCACATGTCTGAAATCCAGTGTTGTTTGTACACGTTTGTACTGTGAATCTATACTGGTGAAGCATAATGTCACTGCATTCATGATGCGCTCAAGTTCGGCTTGGCAGCATTGCAAGAACACCAACTGGTTTTGAATGATTGTAACTTTAATCCCACCCGCGAAGTGGCGGCAAAAGCTTCGTGAGCAGCTTTCAAGAAAGGTTTGCCACGAAGGCATTGTTTGGATGCATGGAATTACAAAACTTCCCGAATATGTTCCAATCCCCCAAGATTTGCTGATAGAGTAGCAAGTTCTCCCCTGCCAGTACATTTGTTTCTTATATAATCCTTTTCCTTTCCTCTAATTTGTTGTATGCAAGTATTGACTCGCTCTTTCTTTTATTATTTGGGAGAGTAGGGACCATTGGCCTATTGATTAGTCATGAATCAAGATCCTACATACATATTAGTGTGTTTTCTTTTTTCCGATTGAATGATGTTGAAAGTAAGTCACAATAAAAGCTCTGCAACATCTTCCTAAAAGACAGTATCCAAAAGATCATCACGTGAAAGCTCAATGTAGATTACAAAAGCTCCTTGAAAGCACTAGTGAAAGCACCTTGGAACATATTCAAGAACATCCACCGGGCTATTTGATACCCACGCACCTTGCTTTTCAAATATATGGCCAGGTGTCAAGGTTTCCCTACAGCCTTCAAACAACCGAGTTTACATTGACACACATTTACAAATCATTCTCTCAACTCCTCCCTCATTTTGCCAGGAGATGCCCTTTCCGTGGAGTTTGTGCTTTCTCACAAAAAATCGAAAAGGGATAGATGTAGGAACTGAACCTGCTCAACAGTACATAGTCGGGAAGTGTGTTTTGAAAGTGCTGGTCGAGGCGATTGCAGCAACCTGTGAACAAACAACATAGGGGTTCTTGCATGTTGTTGCAGGTACGCTGAAAGCGATGACGGGCGCATGGGAATTCGGGCGACTCAGCTTACCTACCACTCTCTAACACTTGGTACTCACTGTAAATGCTTCAGAGCTCCGTGAAAGTCGATGAGAGAGATGAGACTGCCTGTGTGTCTTACGTCATCCAAGGACTTTGACAACCTCTTGCGCATTCTTCATTTGACAGGTCTTCAGACGTTTATTTGATGATTTATTTGTTTTCTCCCTGAGCTGCGAGTTGGCTAGGCTATGATGCCTCTGAGCTTTTCAAAAAGGCACAACATACACAACATAACATCGAATAAGTCGACACTGAACTGTCTTAAACCAAAGAAATGAGTTGCCGAGTTGGTGATGTGATGTTGATCAGGTTGATACCAATAGGGACGGCCAGACGCTTGGAACACATAAGAGGCCGCCCCCGGCACACCAGCCACACGAGAGAATAACTTGAATACTCCACCTAGGGAGCATCGATTTGGATGAGTTCACCGAGACTTGGCTGATACTGACTAAAACGACCAAGATGGACAACATTGAGCTCAATGTGTTGAATGTGTGCAATGTGTTGATTTACAGTAATGTGTTGATTTGCTTTGTGTTTGTTATTTGTTACGTGTGTTTTGTCCCCTTCAGAAATGCAGCATTTGATGTTAGGAGTGCTTCAAGCACTTGGCATCCCTGCCACCAAAGGAGTCGCCAGCACAGGCCATCATAGAAACAATCTTGTCTCAGAGTCAGTCATGCTGTTCATCCGAGAAGATCAAGAAGGTGTACAGTAGATAGATAGATAGATAGACAGATACATCGATAGATCGATAGGTCGATAGATCGATAGATAGATCGCTAGATAGATCGATAGATAGATCGATAGATAGGTAGATATAGAGAATATGTTATTCAGCGTGGGCACTCACTGAATTTGCTGCGGAACTCGCGGCCATGAGCAGAGCAACCAATTTCGACAATCCCTGTTATGTTCTCTTGCCTTTCTTGTCAACTTTGGTTGTTCAAAATTATTTCACGTTATATATTCCTGCATACGTATATACCATCTTTAAAACTTAATATCTTGGACTCAGACATTGTTTTTGTTTTATTCCATGTCATTGTCATTGTCTCTTGATCAATCTAATTACACTGGACAGGGAAGAAAGAGCAAGCGACAATCGCTGGCAGCAGTGCAAGCGGCCATTGAACAAATTGCAGAACAGGCTGTGCTTGTTTGGTCCAAATCACATCAATACCGCACCGTTCACAAGCTCAACTGGTTTTGAGTTGTGCTGGAGCGTAGAAGTGTTCTTCAAAGTTGTTTTGCTCTGATTCAAACTCTTTTGACTCGCCAGGGGGAAGCCGAAGGAGCTGATGACGATGATGACGAGGTAGCTTCAGCCAGCTTCAGCCTTCCAGCTGTTCCAAACAGTCTGTGAGCCAGTTCTGGCATCATGATGTGTGGAGCCAGTTTTCTAGGTTTGATTGCACCTTTCCCCGCGATTACATTGCAGGAAGAAGAAGAAGAGTCAATGCCAGAGGTGCCATTGTATAACACACACCGCTTTGAGAACGTGCAAGATGAATCATGGCACACCAAAATCAGTTACCCCTTCGCTGAGATGTTCCATGGTCATGTCGCAGATGTCTCACTGTGCAGGAGTTTAAGGATTTGACTGTCCAACAGCAAAGGCGCTGTTCTGCAGAGTCAAATTCCTCCAAGAGCAATGAGAAGCTTTTTTGATGGATACTAACTATATCAGGTAGTGAGGAGGCATGTGTGACAGGCGACAAATCCTGCTAAAGTCATGCTGGCAAATGGGCAGCTTGGCGATTTGACATAGTATCGAGCAAGCTGAGCGACGGAAAGCTGGTGTTTCCTAGCTAAGTCAACGTGTTCTAGGCGGTGAAGGTCTTGGTGTGGTGTTCATTCAACATCATCCAACCAGTTGAAGCTATTTGAAGGATTCACCACTTTTTTGGGCAACCCCTGCTGGCATGATTGGAAATTCTACACGTCAATGAGGTCTTGGGACTCTGATGGTCCTTGTCTTCTCAGACCCCATGGTCGATGTGCTGGCAGAGATTGGGTCCCTTTGATTCCTATTCCGTTATATTCCTTGGCCGCTTTTGGTTAGGACTGTACTACATACAATTCTGAAGATTGAGATTGACTATGAGAGATCTTGAGGAATCAGAGTGGCATTCCTTCTTTTTACATTTCATTCGCCTGGAACTGAGGTGTATTTACTTACATAAGTTACTCAATTGTACTCATATTCCTCATGCTTCTTTTGCTGACCGCTTCCAGATCTTGGCCCCACTGGCTTCAAACTCTTCTGAGCTCGTTGCCGCGTGCCCATGACGGAGGGGTTCATGTCACTTGATGTTTCTGTAGTATCCTAAGTCTCCCTAAAAATATAGGAACAAAATCATTAGTGCGAGCGCTTCTTCAAGGAAGCTCCCCCCGGCCCTCAGGCGTGAGCTATCCTGCGTCCATTTGTAGTAGCTTAAGTAGCTAGTAGCTTACTCCCCTTACTTAGTTAAGTAGGCGCCTACTTAATTAAGTTGGAGCGGGCTTAAACAAAATACAACAGAAGCTTACGTTGATGTTTCATGATCTTTTGCAATGAGTTTTGGTATGGACGAATATGTATATATAGGATCATATAACATTACGGCCACTGTTCGGCTTCCATCCGACTAGTCTTTTTGTCTACAGTCAGGTCTGCACAATTTTCTGGCTTTGAGAAACAACTTGTTTTTGCATTCAAGATGTGGCCTTGCCCCATTACTCAATGAGTGAATGAGTATATATAACATGACACAGGCGAACCTCACTACCTTCATGCGTAAATGGAACGAGTTGAGCATTTCCAGCCACTGTAGTCTCCATAGTCTCCATTGCGAGCGCCAGGTACAACTATGCTGGCCGTAAGACTTCAAAGACTATCACCATTGCGCTGAATACCCTGGAGGTTGCTATATGAGCTCACTCAATACTCCAACACCTTCCTTTGCGAGTCACGGATAATACTTACACTCTTGCCAGGGTGCCGCGTGCATGAACAATACCTTCTGCCTTGGCATTTTCATGGCCCTTGTGTACTTTCAGGCATCCAAGCGAGAAGTCTTCTGAGCTATCACGAAACTAGCCATCCCTTCCACAGACAAACGTTTTGGATGATCAGGGCTTGGCCTGGAAGTTTACTGCGGAGACCCTCACGATTCTTGCAGTGGAGCAGAGACCCAAGTATGTTCAGAATTTTGTCCATGCCGCTGATTCTTACCGATTATATTCACGCTTAGGTTTGCACTGGCTGGCATTGTTCTGTTGAAGAGCAACCAAAGGGTAGCAGATGTGCTCCTCTCAGACTTCTCGTGAACTGTGGCGATGACAACTATAAAACAAAAGCCAGCAAAGGGATCCCATTTCTGAGATGTTGTTTGGGAGTGAACACCAAGTGCTATAGGTGCCATAGCCTTCTAGGCTCTGAGTTGTCGAAGGTTGTCGACAATTAGATGGGTTTGCCTGTTGGGCTTCTCACTCCTGTGAAATTCCTTTGTCCATGCCTTCCAGCTTGTGTAGAGTCAAATGCCTCTCTTCTTCTGCGTTCCTCGCCTCATCATTCATTTGGGTCTTCTCGCAGTGTGCCACCAAACTTGTTCCACGAGTGTGGGTCCGGCAGGTATGGGTGATTGAGAGCGCAAAGGCTTCCCTGTCACAGCTAATGGCAGCTGAGCCCCACCAATGTGTTCACAGGACTGCCTTTAGCTTTCTGTGAGACTTCCTCAAGACTTAGAGCTCAACGACGAGCTGTGAAAGTATGAAGAGAAGATACACAGTCCCTGAACATGGCTCCATGCAAAGGTTGTAAAGATTGCAGTGGTATGCATACTGGGCATTTTTCAATTTCCTGCCATGGGCTGGGCGGCTCTGCTCAAGCCTTCAAAGTATTGATCAGAAACTTTCTTCTTGGAAAGTCTGTGCATCTTTCGAGTACTGCATCTTTGGTCTAACAAGTTCACGAATGGTGCACGTAGCACAAGCTTCACGACATATCTACGGCCACCTTTGGAATCCCGTTCAACTCAACACAGCCACCTCCATGCCTTATCGCCGCTGACAGCCGTTTGCTTGTTTGGTGGCCTGAAATAGCTGCAGCAAAACATGCCCCGTAGTCAACTGGCTTAGCTCTCCTCAAAGCAAAAGACTCCTCTCGAATTTCTTCAGCCTGGTCCACGATATGGTACTTCATCAGTGAATGCAACCCAATAGCGCTGGCCTCCAACCTACTAGACTCCAAAATGCACGCAATGCGGATCACTTGGGGACCCTTTACTTTGACGCACAAGATAAAAGGCGCTCGCCGTTCTTGCGCTATTATGCAGGTCTTGTGCTGTAGCCTACTACTGTAGTTATGCATCTGATTATGCAGACCTCTGGCAAAGAGTGTTTGTTTGCGGGCCAAACCTAGGAGTCTTGTGGTCTTGCGGACATGCAGCAGGTACAGGATGCATGGATGGTTTCAGACAGCTTTTGGGCTCCCACATATTCCCACTGTCTCCCTTCGAGGTTTATAGGCTATTATAATCTATTACTGTATAGGTATATAACCTTTTAAAGCTCAAGGAGATCGTGTTAAAAGCTCATGTTTTGAATTGGAGTTGCTTGTTCACTGCGCACAGCTGTTTTTCGGTATGTAGCAGGTAGATGAGCGTAAGAATTATATATTGTTTTTCATTTCTTGCAAGTGTGCTGCATTCACCTTTTTTGGCGCCTCGAACTTGAGGCCTTTGGCATTTTCTTGCTTTTCCCAGGAGCACTCGCAGGGAGCTAAGTCAGTTTGCATTCAATGTTTTGCATCTTAGACTGGCATGCTCAGTAGCGGCTGACGTGCAGAATTTTTGGTGTGATGCAATCTGAGAAACGCATGTGTTGTCTTGTACCGCAGGCCATGGTGTACGTGTTGGAGAACTACTGCGGGTTGGACTGATCTTACAGCCACCATTTTGCATTGCGCCTTTGTACCCAGGGAACGTGAGGAAACAAATCAGAACTTGACTTGCATGACCTGCTAAATACATCTACATTACATGCTCCCTTTAACACAGGTTTCCGCCATGGCATATTGCCATCCACCTTTGTGTGTGTGTGACTTGATAATCTTTGTTGTTTCGGAAGCTTTCTGCTTGCGGATAGCGGCTAGCCACTGGCTAAAGTGGCTGTAAAGTGAGCCGTCCAGTGTCCGGTTGCACCGGTGCAACGCGCAGACACGCAACAATTCGCAGGGTAATTTCAGTTGGTGAAGATGTCGCTTTAGAATGGTTTCTCAAAACAGACGAAACGTCCACTTGGCCATACTTGGCATTCTTTTCACATTGTGCATGCATGTTCAATTTCTTCTTGCAGTTGTGGCTTCAGCCACCTTCCACATTATACATCAAAGATATCTGAAGAATCACCAATGAGGTTGCGCTCCTTGCATTGTCACAGTCTGTGTCCACTTGGTGGGCCGAAGGCTGCCAAATTTCACATCAGCCTCTGCTGATGTTGTGACACAAACTATATCAAACTATTCTCAGGTGATCAAAGCAATTGTTTTGCTGTTTAAAAGCTCCTTGCTTACTTGATCAAAAGGATGCCTTGGTTTCAATGCCTACTGCGCAGAGATACACGGAACTTGAGGTCTTCAGGAAGCATCTGCCAGAGGATAAAGATTTGGAGTGAAAACATCATGTTTCCGTTGTCCCCCTCCTGCAAATTTAGAATCAGTTTGGTCAGCTTTTTAGAGGCTTCTGGCACAAGATGAATGCCTGAGGGCCCTGTGTACTCTGACTGGCCTGTTCGCTTAGACGAGCACGTTGTTAATGCAAAAGAGCTCTCGAGTCATCGCACAGTTCAAGAGCCTTTCGCTTTGTGACGCATTTTGTGTTTTTCAAGGAGTGGAACTCACCTGTCATTTAGGACTGAGACCCAATGCGCTTTTTGCCATCAATGTCTCAAGCTAGTCACAGTGACCAAATACCCAGCTGTGCGAGTGATGTGAAACTTCACAAAGATGGATCGGATGACGTTTTCCTTGTATGGCACTTATGGTTTGGTCCGCTTCCATGTCCTTGATCGTTCTTTTGCCTGTCGCAAAGTCACAGGTTCCCGAACTGGCAACTTTTGCAGTGGAAGGTCATTTGAAGGATGGCGGGAAACAGCGCGTCCCTTTTGAGCCAGCTTTTCCTGCCGCAAATCGCTTCGACTACAAATGCTACCTAGACAACATCATGAAGAAGTTTGACCTTAAAGTAGATCCGCAAGAATATGCAGTCCTATCAGCACTGGAGGAAGACGGAGAAGAAGTGTCGAGCCGTTCTCAACTTCTGGGCATCTCAGTCGAAGAAGGTGCCGAGAAGATATTTTCCATCACGTTGTCCAGCACGCATAGCCAAAATGTCTCAAAGTACACGTTGCAAGTCTTGCGGCGCTTGGGCTTCTCCACGTCTCTTGAGAATCTTGGTTTCGCGACAGGTCATCTAAAGGAAACGTTCCATCCACAGAGTGAGATAGACGTCTACCATGCCTTGCAAGACGTGAAGGAAGATTTTGCCGAAGTCCAATGTTTGAAGCAAGATGGGGGTCAAGAAGTATGGTGCACTGTTCAGCACATGGAGACTCTGGGAGATGGAAAGCCATCCAGTGCTGAATTCACTTTGTTCCCGGAGCTTTACTCGCCCTCTCTCGAGACTAGGCATTCCTTGGAGACTTACTACTCTGGTGAGAGAGCACGCACCGTGAACTGTCGAGTCCCTATTGACACTTGGCGGGAGGTGATCATTGGTGTGAATATCACCTCAGCAGACAAGACACGCCACCGTCACCTTCAATTAATTGTACGAAGAGACGGTTGCCGTGATGACAGCTTTTTCTATGCAGGAAGATGTATTCTTCATTGTCCAGTCTTTCACTACGAGCAGCGCTTCAACTGGCGATGTGGTGCTTGTGGCCACAATTGTGAGTTTTGCGTCCATTTCGCAAAGTGCAGACGTTGCAGGCTCGACACCGCACTGAAGAGATATGAGCTAAACGGTGGCAGCTGCAAGACTATACACGTACATCCTAACAAGGTGTACTTTTTTGCTTCGTGCTACTTGGGCTGCTTGAATGTCAACCTCATCTAAAGCTTTATAGTGTTGGGTTTTCCGGGAGTGAACCATTCTCACAGCAAGGGTACCGCTACCCCTCAACCCCGCCTGTCTACAACTTGCCATGTGAGAATGTCAACTTAGGGGCCGCTTGCGCTGCGCTGGCTGGTATATACTTGACTTTTGCGCTTTGGTCGGCGACCAGCAGGTCAGCTGAAAAGGCACGCAAAAACTGCTCACGATCCCCATACCACACTCACTACTATCACGTCTACACATGCGAACTTTGTTGCATTCCTATATGTGTTTGGCATTATTTCCTTGAATGCATCCTTGAAGGACATTGAAGGAACTGAAGATGAGCAAATGCCATTGACGACACGTCAATTTCCCCATCATTGAAAGATTATTGAACGATTCCTATAAATTCCAATATGGGATTTATTGTGGCGAACGAATAGAAATACTATATAAATATAAATATAATTTATTTAAGGATTTAAATTTATATAATTATTAATAAATATTGATATATAAAAAGATATATTAATATAATAATAATATATAATTATATATATATTATATTATTATTATAAAATTTGATATGGTAGTCGATCGAAAGGTCTACATATGATTTATATTATTGAATGTTATTTTAAGTTGTTGGCGACATATTTTTCTTGAATTTGCGAAAATAATTCTTTTTTGGGTGAAAGATTTACAAAAGAATTTAAAAAAATATGGTATATATGCAAATTTTAGATATGATTTTTTTTTTGTTATTGGTGTTTTTTTGCCATTGTTATTATTATGATTATTTTTTTTTATATTCTTTTTGCATTGTTGTTATTGATACGATAAATTTTGGCAAAAATTCCGCGAAAATATAGGCGAATGGGAAGGTTTGTTTTGTGGATTTTTGTCTAAGCTAAGTAATGATAAATTTAATTAGATATGAAAATAATAATTAGTTCTTTTAATTTATGTTTTATTAGTTCGTTTTGTGTCGTAATCTCGTAAATGGTGGTTGATGGAAATATTTAGGTTGCTATGTAGAACCATTATGATTGGCAGAATGTATATTTCTTACAAAAGTTAAACATGGAATTCACGAAAGATTCACAATTTTTCTTTTTTTCGCGCGAAGAATGGGCTGCTAGCAAGAAGGGAAAGACAATCGATTGGTTGGGTTTGATTTTTGAAATCGAACGAAATGAATTAAGGGAATATGGGGGAATAGGTCGCGAAAAGGTATTTTTAAAATAAATTAGGTTTGGTGTTGCGAGTGATATGATGGACGTCGAGTAATATTTAGGAATGGTTGTGGAGGTTAATGGATATTGAGCATTGGAATGGATATAGGTATTTAAATATAGAATGTTTATTTTAATTTTTATTATGTCGAATGGATATTTTTCGCGGTATTTATGTATATCGAACGTTATTTCGGTTTGATCGCGTAATTAATATAGAATAAATCTATAAAATATAGATAAATGAAATATATTAAATAGATAAATGGGGTAATTTTGGCCGAAATCGTGTTTTAAAATGATTGGTATAGGAATGTATTTATTAAGTTTGAAATCTTATATTAATTTGAATGTGGTTGATTAATGATGGTTGTGTAGTAATGGTTGTTCGATTATATTTATAATGATGGTTCGATTTTTGAGATTAATATAATTAATGTATGATTTGATAATTGGTTGTTGGGGAATTATATCGTCATTTCGAATTTAAATGAAATTGATTGGACCGGAATAACAGATAAAATATATTTTGATCATAAACAAATTGAAGGCTTCGTGATGGAATTTGGTCGCAACAATATTTGTCCGAAAGATTCTATCGTAATTATTTTGTTTACAACAATATTTGTTCGGAAGATTTTGTCGTAATTTTATGATGGATTTTGGTTGCAAAAATATTTGATGATTATTTCTAAGTGGAATTGATTGGATATATTGGAGCAAATATGGTAATTGGTTGGCAACGACAAATTATTATTAGATTTGGCAGCGAAAAATTACTACTAGAAAAGGATTCCCTCTAGATAGCAATTTCTCTGTATTTTATGTCTCTGGCTTTTATGATTCTGTGTCTTTATGTCTCTATGGTTCTGTGTCTTTATGTTTCTGGGAAGAGAGGTGTAGTTGCGATGTATGATTATCACGAAAGGTAGTGATTACGGTACCTGAATTGTCTTTGTTTTAGCGATAATAAGAGTTGGTTTTAAATATCAGGGATCCCCCCCATTCGATTCTACCCTGCCCAAGGAGAATGTGGTAGTGTTCTGAGCAGAAGCAAGCAGCCTGCAGCATCAAACCAGCAAAGCAGCAGCAACAGTAGCAATTGCAACAGCCAAACAACAGCAGCAGCAACAGCAGCAACCAAGCAAGCAGCAACAGCAACGACCAGCAGCAGCAGCAACGACCAGCAGCAGCAGCAGCAGAAAACAGCAGCAGCAACAACCGGCAACAGCAGCAGCAACCAGGAACCAACAGCAGCAACCAGGAATCAGCAGCAGCCGCAGCAGCAGCAGCAGCAAACCAATAAAGCAGCACCAACAAAGCAAAAAGGTAGCGCCAGCGCCAGCAGCAGCAAACGAGCAGCAACAGCAGCGGCGACGGCGGCAGCAGCAGCAGCAACAGCAAAGCAGCGGTTGAACACAGCAAAGTAGAAAGCAGCAACAATGACACCAGTGGCAGCAGCAACGACTGCAACAGCAGCAGCAGCAGCAGCAGCAGCAAAGCTCACACAAGTTTGGCCTCCACAACCCTTGGTTTTGACTTAGTTTTTTGGGGGGGTTGCGCAGACGAATTTGAAAGAGCTTCAAAATTCAAACAACAACAGAAACCAGCAAAAAGTAGCAGCAACAACAGCAACAGCCAAACAGCAGCAGCAATCAGCAAGAGCAGCAATCAGCAGCAGCAACCAGCAGCAGCAGCAACCAGCAACAGCAGCAGCAGGAGCAGCAGCAGCAGCAGCAACCAGCAGCAACAGTGGCGGCGGCGGCAGCAGCAGCAACAGCAAAGCAGCAATTGCAGCACAGCAAAGCAGAAAGCAACAGCAGTGGCACCAATGGCAGCAGCAACCAACGATTGCAACAGCAACAGCCACCACCAGCAGCAGCAGCAGCAACCAACAACCAGCAACCAGCAACTAGCAGCCAGCAGCCAGCAGCCAACAACCAGCAGCCAGCAGCCAGCAGCCAGTAGCCAGCAGCAGCAGCAACCAGCAGCAGCAAGCAGCAGCAACCAGCAGCAGCAACAGCCGCAGACATGCTACCTTTCGTCCACCCCCGTCTCCTCAAGCATTTTGGGCGGATCAAAGAAATAAGCCCAAAGAAAGTCCCCAATAGCACGAAGCGCCACTCGGAAAATCTTTTCGTTGTCCACACCCTCTTCTGGAACCTTGTCTGCTGCTTTGGAACTTGCTCCCGAACTTTCTCCAGAACCTCCTCATGGACCTGCCCCGGCACCTTCTCCCGAACCTTCTCTGGACGCAGCTGCCGCGACGATCCCCGACCTCAGCCCTGCAGCCGCCGTCGGATAAACAGCTGACTTTCGTCCTCGCCCCTTCTCAGGTTGTATATAGAGGTATGATAATAAAAATTCAATTTATTAAATTACATATGATATAGGTTGATGATTTTCTTAATATATATAATTGAAGATAATTATTGTATTTATCGATAGGATAAATATTTATATATTGTATTTTTAACTATGTATATGTATGAATGAATAAAATAATATATATGTTTAATCTATACATGATTCTATATATGTTCTATTAAAATTGAATATATATATATAATGAAATTAATTTGTGATTGAAAAATGAATATGAATTTATTTTTGGATCGATTTTATAAATAATATATATATATTTGAAATGAGAAAAACTAAATATTTTTTAAGAAGATAATATATATATAGAATCAATATTGTATTATATATAATGGAAATGAAAATTACAAAAATATAAATAATTTATATGAATTTTGCTAATTTATGAAGATATAACTATATTGATACAAAAAATTAATGATTAGTTTTCTTGTTTAAGAATATGAAAAATATAAATACAAAATATTTACATAATATATTTATATAATATGTTTATAAGAATCGGCTACTAGAATATATTATAGTACTATTTTTTAAATGTTTAAATTTTGTACGGATGGGATTTGATTTTTTTGAATTTGCAATGAGAAATTATGGATATTGAAATAAATAAAGGATGCTTATTGACATTGATTTGATTTTATATAGTCGAAAATTATATTAAATCAATATGAAATTTGATTATGAATTTATTGTTCTAAATAAGAAGGTAAGATTTAGTATAAAATTCAATATAAATATTTAAATAAAAATCGAATATATTTTATATATTTTATTTAAGTTAATTGATTATTCATCAAATGTGTATTATTGTATTTTTAATATTTGATGTGTGATATATTTGTTTATTAATATAGGTATATAAATTTCAATTTTGAAGATTGCAAAATGGTGCGGGGCAGGGATCAATTTGAACCTTTAAAAATTGGTGCGTGGGGGGAGGAAAATTTGATCGTTGAAAAGCGGTGCACAGGAATTCTATTTCTAGCCCCGAATGCAACCTATACATATTGAAGACTTCATATTTTGTATATTCTTGCAGCATTTACATATGTTTTTACAATTATTATGGATCCTGTTCCATCTCCCACTTTGCGTATTCCAAACATAAAATAGGTTTGTGAGATACTAATTTTGAATTTTGTTGGGAATCGATGTGGCCAATGCCGAATATATATTTCATCACGTGTTATCATCTATCAACAGAAAATATATAAATATAAAATACTATAACAATTGCTATAACAACTATCATATATTTGTTCCAATATGGTCTGAAAGAATCACACCATTTTCATCTATTTGATGCGGCCTGTGTACCGAAGTAAATTTTAGCTGATCAGCTGATCAGCGAGCGCACGCCAAATCTTGAACGATGCTTGGAGTCACTCCGAGCACCGCTGCTCAAGTGGGCACATATTCGTGTGCCTGTGTGTGCGTTGAGCGCGTTCCGTGCCTGTTCTGCGAGAGGTTTCGCGAAGGTTCCACGGGGGTTTCGCGGAAGTTCCGCGGGGATTCCGCAGGGGTTCCGCGCCTATTCTCTGATCGGCGAACACACGCCCAAGCGTGCACGAAGCTAGGAAAATTCTGAGTATCACTGCTCAAAATGGGCACACAAGAGCTCCGACTCGTTGAAGAAGAGGAGCTCAAATGGGCGCAAAAGAACTTGAACCCTTAGAACTTTGAAGAAGAGGAAAAAAATCACGACTTGGAGTAAACGCTTACAACATGGTGTTCGGAGTGGTGCTCGGGGTGGTGCTCGGAGTGGTGCTCGGGGTGGTGCACAATGCGGTGCCCAATTTGGTGTTCGATCCACTCCGAGTATCAGC